AAACCCAAACCCAACCTACGTACGTCCGTACCCCCCCCCCCTCCCCCCCCCCCCCCCAATAGCCACCACCATCACCACCACCCATGTCTCTCCCCTAACTCACGTTACCACGCATGTTGGCGTACAGGACGGTGCGAGTCCGTGTCGTCCACGGGAGAACTCGGTGCTGCTTGCTCGTCGGTCTTCTCGTCGTGCTTGAAGCAGTGTCTGGAGGGCAGCTGCATCAACAACCGTTGTGAGAGAGGCCAGCTGGGTGTTGGTTGCACTGGCTGCACTCGTACACTGCCTGGGCTGCTGTGCGCGGCTTCGGACACCGTCTGTGATTACAATGTCAACCGGACCGCGTCGGAGAATGTGTGCCGGCCCAAGAACCTCCGCCCGGGTGTGGCCTGTGTCATCGACTTGCAGTGCCGCTCGGGCTCGTGTGTCGGCGGCACGTGTGCCGGCTCTGCGCTTGGCACTGTTTGCAATGCCATCGAGGACTGTGCCGAGCCCAACTTTTGCGTCACGAACGCAGGGACCGGCGTCAAGGAGTGCACCGCCGCTCTGGTGGCCGACGGAGCAGCGTGCACCACAAACTCGGACTGCGAGTCGGGCGTGTGTGACAAGTCAGGCTCGGTCTGCATTCCCGAGTTCTCCAAGGCCGGTGGGGCCAATTGCACTAGCAACGATGAGTGCTCGTCGCACAAGTGTGGGAGCAACGGCGTGTACAGCGTCTGCCTGCAGTCCTACCTCGAGCGCGGAGAGGGCGAGGAATGCCCGGATGGCGACCTCAACTGCAAGACCGGACATGTTTGCGTCGGATCCGACACCATCGGCACCACCCGTGTCTGCCGCAACGTCGTCAACAAGCTCTGCGCGTCGTCTTCCGTCTGCGGTAATGGCGTTTGCACCTGCGCCGGCTCGGAGAACAAGTGCTTTGCCCGGCGTTTTTCGCCCATTGCGTGTGACACCCATCTGGTCAAGGCCCAGCGGCTCGGCTCGAACATTCCCACGTCTTCGTCGACCACGTTCCCGACCGCCGGCTTTGCCCTCCCATGGGATGCGTACACCGCTGCCGGCGGCAACGCCGCCGCCTTTGCCCAGGCCATGGCCGACCTCTACTGCTGCTACTACAACGCCGGCGAGTCTGGTCTCGTCAACATCGAACAGACTCTTGCAGCCTACAAGCTCGAGTGCAAGAGCTCCGGCAATGTCTTTGCCGCCATCTCCGAGTCGTCGGCTGAACCGCGCCGCTGCACCCCGGTCGACCGCTATAAGGAAAACGAGGTCGGCTCGGGCGTTCGTGGCACCCCGGTCTCCTCCATCATCCGCTCCGCTGCCGCCACCGTCGCGCCCAAGGCCGTCGCCACCGCTGCCGCCGTCGTTGTTGCCGTCGTCCTCGCTCTCCTCGCGTAGTCGCCCCCAATCGTAAAACTGAATCCTCCGCACACGCACGCGCTCCTCTGGCGCTGTCGGCTACACTCAAGAAGCACACACGCACCAAGCCGACTTGTACCGTGACCACACCTATTTTTTGCCCTAAACAAACGCTTTCCTGGAGACTCAAACGGCTTTGTTCTCTCTCCCGCTCCCCAAAATGTTCTGCAGAGAGTGTCATTCACCGCCATTGTTCCGCAGCTCACCACGATTCAGGCAACTGGGCGAGCGGGTTGAGGGTTCTGGAGCCCAAGCACTCCACGCCGTCTGTAAAGAGAGTGTGTGAGAGAGAGAGAGAGAGTGAGAGTGAGAGTGAGTGAGCGAGAGAGCCAGTGAGCAAGGGAAGGACATTGCTGTGGAAGTAGGCGAGCGGACAGGGAGAGTTGCAGGTCGTGAAGCCACCCACAGACAAGCCCGTCACCATCAACCACATCCCCTTCCTCGGCTAGTTGGAAACCAATAGAGCGACAGGAACAGGGCCAGGACCAAGGACAGGAGATCGGACCAGGAACAGGAACACGCGACACGCGAGACGCGACAAGCCGACAAGAACAGGCGAGACAGACCAGATTTCCCGACCTTGCATGCAGGCCTCGGGAACGCTCTTTGTCAAGACCAGTGGCCTCTTCACCACATGGTAAGGAAGCAGGGGAGAGGGGAAGAAGGGGGAGGGGATAGCCCACCGCAACAATCGCCATCATCACCACTCACACTCACCACCCACCACCACCATCATCACCACCCACTATCATCACCACTCACCCCCATCATCATCACCCAAACTCGACTCACCCATCCAACGCATCTCGTCCAACAGGAAAAAGTGTGATGCCTTTCTCAGAGGCTCCATTCTGAGGCTGGCGCCCACAAAGAGCTCAGATATCGGCAGCGACATACTCGTCCACATGCCAGACTACAGCGTGACCGCCATCGTCGGCCGGCCGCAGGGTGGAAAGACCAAACACAAGGACTGTGCCTTTCGTTTGGCCCTCGCCAACGCGAGCATCGAGTGCGACGAGGCGTCCGAAGCTCCCGGAGGCACCATCGCCCACTTTGTCGAGTCTGAGGCTGAGATTGTTGCTGCAGCCGCCACCAAAGCCGACGCCGCCCGCTGGATCGCCATCCTCAGGGTTGCCATGCGTGGCCTTCCACACACGCCGCGGACAAGCGATGAGGGCATGTCAATCGTCACGACTCCGCGGCGCAAGCTGTCGACCGCCTCGACGCCGGTTCCGCCGGCGAACGTTGTTGCTCCAGCCAAGGGCTGGCGTGTTCAGGCGCCGCTGCCCCCGGCGTCCGACTCAGACTTTCAGTGCACGGCTTACAACGTGGTCGAGGAGAACCCCAAGGCCCTGCTCGGCTGGTACCGCAAGTACTTTCTCGACGCACCACACGCTAACTTTATCGCCGATCTCGGCTCCAAGCTGGGCGTCCACGTGGTCTCGGTCATGCGCTCTAGCGCCGGCGGCAAGGCCAACTGCGACATTCGCGCAATTGTGTGGTCGCGGACCGAGACCCAGCCGTTTGTCCTCCATGCGCCCGACGGGTTCAAGACGTTCAAGAAAGACCTACGCTACGTGCTTGCCACCTATGATCCGTCGGGCCTCTTTAAGAAGCGCAGTAAGTTCAAATGCGTGGTTGGCCCGGGCATGGTCGCCGCCCTCGTCGGTCTGGAAGATTCGCACTTTAAGACCCACGCCAAGATTGGCCTTGTCTACGCTCGCCAGGGCCAGACTGATGAGGCCGACATGCTTGCCAATGACGTCGATGAGCCCAACGGGGCCGACTTTGCCTTTGAGTCGTTCCTCAACATGCTCGGAACACGTGTCGAGCTCTCGGGCTGGGACGGCTTCCGCGCTGGCCTCGACACAGTTGATGGCGGGACCGGCACGTCGTCGGTCTACGCCCGCGTCCAAGACAAGGACATCATGTTCCACGTCTCGACCATGCTTCCGCATGACCGTGAGGATTCAGGCCAGTTTGTCCAGCGCAAGCGCCACATCGGCAACGACATCTCCGCCATTGTCTTTGTCGACGGCACCACCCCGTATGCACCCGACACTATCAAGTGCCAATTTCTTCACGTCTACGCTGTCGTCCAGCCCGATGAGGCCAACAATGGCATCTACCGTGTCCAGTTTACCCACCAGGCCGTCATGAACTCGTTCGGCCCGCTTCTCGCTACCGACGCGTTTCCGGCCTCGCCAGCCTTTGCCCACGCCCTCCTCACCAACATGCTCAACGGCATCTCGTCGGCGCTCACCACCGCACCCGACTTTGCTCTCAAGGCCAAACGGACCGATCAAATCCTTCTCGACGCCATTTACGACAAGGTCAAGTCTAAGGTGACCGGCTTTGAGACCGGCCCGTCGGCCGGTGTCGCCGCCTCGCTCATCGCCTCGCTCATCCCGGCCGAGCACAAGCCGAGCGAGACCGGGCCGCGCCGCAGCGCAGTCCCGCCGCTCGCTGAAAGCTTTGACGCCCTCGCGGTCTTTGACGTTGCTTCGGTCATCGAGAACATCGGCTCGCACGTGACTGCATGGGACCACTGGGATGTCAAGTACGTGTACTCGGATGCCAAGGCGGTGTATCTCGCCGATGCATCGGCCGCGCCGCCGGTCCAATTTGCGAGCGAGCCGGCGGCCCAGATTGTGGTCATCGCCGACATCAAGCTGTGTATCCTCCGCTTCTCAAACCCGCGCCTCAAGGTCTCGTTCCTCTTCCTCGACTCGATTGGCGAGTGGATGATGCGTGGCGTTCCGGGGACCAAGCGTGCGTCAGCCATTGCGGTGGCCAAGGTCGGGTCCAGCTACCGGCTCGCCGTTGCGCTGCGGTCGGCCGTCAAGCTCTTCAACTGGCGCAACCAGGAGTGGGTTCCGCATCATTTCTCGGTAGCGCTCGCCGCGCCGCCGGTCTCGATGAACTTCCGCATCGGTGGCGAGCTTGCGCTCGTTCTCGAAGACTCGCTGGTGACAGTCGATCCAGAAACCGGGAGCTCGGTTGTTCTCGAGGTTTGTGAGTCACGTGTTGCCACTGGCGCTGTACTTGACGTCTCGCTGGATGGGCCTGGCTCGCATCTGGCGCTCATGCAGAACATGCACGGTGCGCTTGCAGTGGCGGCCACAGGAAAGCTCGCACTCCCGCGTGTCACTTTTGCGTGGACCTGCATGCCGCACACATTTGCCGCTATCGACTACTACGTTCTCGGCATCGCCGCAACTTTCATCGAGGTCCGGTCGGCCCGCAACGGCGCGCTTGTCCAGGTCATCGAGCTCCCGCCGCCGATCCGGGTCGTCTCGCTCAAGGATGGTGTATTTGTGGCGTCGGGCGTCGGCATCAGCTCGTGCGTCCACCACATTGTGCCGGCACCGATCCCCGAAAACGTCGTCACGTCGCCGGTCTTCTCGCTTGCGCGCAAGAACGCTGACAACCAGTTTGCCACGCGCTTTGCCCGCGCCCGCCGCTCCGGTAAGCGTGGGGCATCCGTCGTCTCGCTTTCGCTCAACAGAACGCGCTCCATGATGAGAGACACCGGCTCCGACAGCATGTCCGCGATCTCGGAGAGTCGCTCGGACATTGCCGGCTCATCGCGCCAAGGAGCGAAGAACGTGCCGCAGATTCGCCTCCGGCCGAACAACTCGGCCGAGTTTCGCCGTTCCTCGCTGCCGTCGCGCGACTCGGTCCGTGACATGTCCAGTTCGTCCAGCTCGTCCAGTTCGTCAAGCTCGACATCGTCCTACACATCGTCGTACTTGATGACTGCAGCTGAGGATGTCTCGTCGTCGGAGCACTCGCCCAACGGTACCGAGTCTGGCCTCTCGTCGATGTCGTCGACAGCCTCGCTTGTCATCATCGATGAGAAGCCGCCGCTCAAGTCGCGGGCGTCACGCGCGCCGCGCACGCGCCATCGCGCCCCCGCCGAGATTCCTGGCGACACTGCGCTTACCACCTCGTCCTTGGATCTCCGCCGCTCACTCCTCTCGCGCAGCTCACGGGTCAAGGCGCGGCTGGCCGCCCTCGACCGGCACGAGTCGGGCCAGATCTACGAGCCCAACGGCGACACAGCCGATGAGGCCTCGTCAAGTAGCAGCTCGTCATCATCGTACCCGATCTCCGCATCGGCGTCGAACTCGGGCTCGGACTCTGTGGGTGATGCTGCCGAAAGCTCGTCCAGCTCGTCCGACACGCACCAGGCTGGCTTTCTTGCCCGCCAATCGTCGACCCAAGAGTTCTGGGCGAGCTCCGAGATCGGTATGGCCGCCGCTACCAGTCCGGGCGCGAAACGCCGCCAGATTTCGGTCCGCAAGAAGCGGCCCAAGTCCTCGCTCCACGCCCTCGCCTTCAAGAACCTGGCGCGCAAGGGAGGTCGAACCATGCCGCGCAAGGGCAAGAAGATCGACGGCGGCGGTAAGGCGCAGCAAACTCGTGTCCGCACCGCCTCGCCGCTCGCCTTCGGATCGTCCGCCGCGTCATCATCTTCGGGTGGACCCATTGCCTCGGGTCTACCAGCCGCCTCTGCAGCGTCGCCGACTGCCGCCTCGGATTCGAGCCTCGGCTCGGGTTCGGGATCAGGATCGGGCACAAGCTCGGGTGTGGACTCGAGCTCGGGTTCAGGCTCGGCCTCGGGTCCGGGCTCGGCCTCGGGTGTGCACTCGAGCTCGGGTCCGGGCCCGGGCTCGGGTCCGGGTCCGGGCTTGGGATCGGACTTGAAATCTTAGTTTGCGTTGTCTGCCGTCTCCTGTGCGTGGATTTAAATCCGCCAGTCCCCCCGTCTCCTTTGTGTTGCCGTCACCCCCCCCCCCTGGCTGGCCGCACCGACCCGCCTGTCAACCGACCCCTGACCCGTCCTCCCGCTTCCCCCTCCCCCCTCACCACTCACCACCACCCCACTACACACACACACACACACACACACACACACACACACACACACACACACACACACACACACACACATGGGTGACGTGGGACAGACTGCCCGCCGAGTCCTACAGGCGGGGCTGTCTGCCGGTGAAGATGCCCAGACGGTCATTGCCCGGGCCGAGGCCGCCGTCAGTGGCGACCACTCTGACCAGGACGGCCATGATGAGCATGGCGTGTCCGGTGGGACACAGCTGGCACTTGCCCTTGTCGCCATGTTGGCGCAAAAGGTGTCGGCAGTCGTCGTTGACTCGGATGGTCTCTGCTCGCACGACACGTGTCCGCGGCTAACCACCGCCGCGATCGCCAACGTTGATGATGATGATGGTGGTGGTGGTGGTGATGAAGCTGGTGATGAAGCTGGTGATGATGCTGGTGATGGAACTGGTGCTGCCGGCTACAGCAGAGCAAGGGCGAAGAGGGCGTACCTCTGTCCGGCCCACCCTGTTCCTTATCCGTGTGCGGCGGTCGATACTATGGCGCATGTGCTCGATCTCGCGCACAAGGATGTTGCCGTCGTCAACGCTGTGCTCGCCAATGGCGAGGAGGCGTCCGATGAAGAGGTGGGGGTCGAGGCCAGCGTTGGGGAAGTACCGGCCGAGGCCGCGCTGGATGTGGATGGTTTTGCCAGGAGAACGCTGATGTGGACTCAGCGGAGGCTGGGAAGAGTGCTCGACCATGTGCTCGCTGTCCACCTCGATCAACTCCCGGCCGATGTCGCTGCGGGTCTTGAAGCCGACATCGCGTTTTGCCGCGCCGCACTCGCGCATCGCATCTTGTAGAAAGAGGGACCAGAGGTGGTGTTTAGCTCTGCGGGAACAGTCGCGTGTTGCTCGCGTCGACGGTGTTGCGGTGCCTCGCCGCGGCGGCGGCCCGCTCGGGAAGCTCGGCCATGACAGGATCCGAGACTACACTCGCGGCTGCGGCCGCCTCGGCCTTGACGTACATAAAGCAGTAGCCAGAAGCCTGCTTGTGCCCGCCAGTCGCGTGCTTCCACACCTCGGCCGCGGTTGTCATCGAGACTGTGGCGTCGTCGAGTCGGAACCAGGTCGAGCCGTCTGGGTTTTGGCGCACGTAAGCATAGTAGTGACCCGACGAGGCGTAGCCGTCGTGCACAAGCACTGCGTGCAGGACGTATGCTGTCTTGTCGAGCTCGGAGAACAGCGCTTCGCGCTCGGCCTTGATCGCTGCAGTCTGCTCTGCGATCAGCCTGTTGCGTGCCTCCAGGCTGCTGCGGAGCTGCGAGAGCGTTTCGGCAGCTGCGACCGCGCCGGGCGGTGAATGGCTCTTCAGGAGCGCCATCGACGCTGAGAGTGCGTCAAACTCGGTGCCAGGGACCAGCTCGTGCGCCAGCTCGTCGATGCGCGCCGCAAGCAAAGCGTCGTGCTCGGCCAGTTCAGCCACCCTCTCTGCATTCTCCGCGAGGTACCGGTCAAGGAACAGCTTGTCGGGAAACTCGAATGGGTCGTCGATCTTGATCCCGGCCTGAGTGGCCGGCGAGAAAACGACACGTGAGACCTGAAGGATGAGTGCCGGCGGCGCCGACGCCAGCCGGGTCGTCTTGGTTGCTGCCACTTGCGCGTCTGCGTTCTGGGGGGTAAAAATACTTGCGTCGGTGCCGTGTACGCATCGAGCGCGGCATGCATCGATCCAGCGTCAACGTCGAGGATGAGCCGGTTGAACGGCACCGAGGTGGCTGGCTGCGGGACCGGCCCCGCCTCGTCTGTCTGAGAGTAGGCCAGTACCTGGGCAAGCTCGCCGTAGAAGAGCTCTGTCACCGGGTTGGGCGCCTCGGCATCTGCACTCGCAAACGCGGCCTTCGCCTGCTCGAGGAATACGTTGATGTACTCGGCGACGTCCTCCTGGAGGCCGACCCTGACCGGCGCACCCGACTCGTGCCGGAGCGCGGCCATGAGCTTGGATGAGTTGTACGTCTTGGCCTTGCCGAGTGCCATGTAAGCAAACAGCTCCTGTAATGCAGCCACAAATGCCGCCACGTGCTCGCTTCCGCTCTGTTCGTCGCTGGGGGTGCAGCCAGGCGCAGGTGCAGCGAGGATGGCCAGTCGGAACGGTTGAAAAGCAAACAGGGCCTGGATGAGCGAGTTAAAGTAGCATGTCTGCCCGATGTTGAGCAAGCCACATGGGAGGCCGAGCCCCGCGCGACTCTCCAGCCGCAGTGCAAACGCCGCCCGCTCCAGGTGCGACGACGGCGACGGTAGAGGCGAGGAGGGTTCCGGGCCCGGCGACCGCAGGAAGGCGCTCGCCCGCTGCGACTCGAGAATCGCGGCTTGGACCTGCTCCTCCTCGGTCATCTCGGCCGATGCCGTGTGCGAGCTGCGCCGCGCCGTCGGCGATGGTAGATCCAGCGTCTCGACCAGGTTACTCAGCGTGGCTGACTCGGGCCGTCCGCGTGCCACCATTGTAGCTGCCTTTTTGAGGTGGTGTGCAAGGTGCGGTGCCTTTTCGCGCTTGCTGTAGTACGTGGCCACCACGTGGTCGTCGCTCGCGCTGAACTCCAGTCCGAGCTCGCCCAGCCCAGTCAGCTCTTGGATGGCGCTCCCGTTCTCGCGCAGCAGGCGGCGATAGTTGTCGGTGAGGGCTGGCGAGTTGCGTGCCGCCTGGAGCGTCTTGATCGCATCCAGCACGTCGAGCGTTCGCTCGCGGGCCTCGTCAATGGCGAGCTGCGCCGCCCAAACAATAGCCTCGTCGGACGCCGATGTGGCGAGCCCGATGGCAACAAACGAAGCCGCGAGCGGCCGCATGGTCTGCAAAAAGCTGGCTTCCTTCCCGCGGGCGTGCAGGAGCCGCGACTTGTCGCCACAGAGCGCGTCGCGGATGAGGCCGGTGGCATCGGTTGGATCAAGTGCGAGCCGGCCGGCCGTCATCTCGGCCACCGAGAGTGTGTGCGAGGCCTCAAACGCCATCTCCACTCGCGCCATGGTGAGCGTGTAGAGCACATCTGGGTCGTCCGGGTCTGGCGGATCCCAAAAGCCGTCGGCGGCAAGGACAAAGCCGACGGCAGCGAGGACGTCGCTGGTCGACGGGAGAGCACCGAGCCGGCGGAGGTAGCCCTTGTTTTGTGAGTTGATGCGCTTGCCCTTGCCGTCGCCCGACGCAAGCTTGGACATGTACATGCCGAGTGTGTTGTAGGCAGTGTCGACCAGCTCGCTGTGTCCGGCCGCTTCCATCCGCACAGCCTTGAGCACCTCGCGCGGCACGACCGGGCGCGAGACAACCACATCGACAGACCGTGAACATCCGCAGCATGCAGCACCCAGGTCGGGCACCGCGCCCGTCGACCACTCGCCGTCTGCCACCTCGTCCATCTCGGCGTAGTGGTAGTGATGTGCAGGATGCGGACATGGATCGGGCGAGGGCGAGGGCACGATTCGGAAGCGAGCAAAGGCGTGGCAATTACAGCACATGAGCAAGGTCACATGTTCGCCCGGCGCAAGAAGGGCCAAGGCCTCGGGCGCGAGTGTGTGATAATGATGTGTCTTGTGTTCGCCGAAAAAGCCGCTTGCGTGCAGTCCCACCCGGTTGGCCACCACCTGGCCAACCTCGCCTCCAGCCACGTTACGCAGCAGCGACTTCCTCTCCGTAGCACCTCTCAACTTGGTTCCATACGCCGCCTGGAGCATCTTGAGCATCTCCTCCATCTTGTTGCCGAATTTTGTCCTTCTCCTCCGCAGACAACGCCCGTTGGAGCTTGTCCGAACAAGGGGGGGGAGGGGGTCAGGTCTGCCGTCGTCTCGACGCCGGTTCGTCTGCCGAGTGCGACTCGATGGAAGACCGGTGAGCGTGTTCGGTGACACCGACGGAATCGTTGGGCAATCGGATGGCATGCTTCTTTTTCCAATGCCCAAGATGTTGCAGCAGTCCATGGGGGGGGGGGGGGGGGGGGGGATTGACCCACAACGTACTTGGCGCCTGCATGCACAGGTGTAGATGGGGGGGGGATAGGGGGAGGTAGGGGGCCTAGGCTGGTCGCGCCGTATTCGCAGAAAAAAAAGTGGAACGTCGGGTGCGACGTTTTGTGTACCCTTTAGCCACTGGAGCATTAACATCAGTCGACTCTACAAGGAACACAACGGTCATCGTAGCCACGCACACTCGACTTGCAGTCCGGAAAGCATGCCAACCCATATGCGTGCGTTTCTCTGTCCCCTTCTCTCCCCTTCCCCTTCCTCCCACCGTGCACCCTCACACTCACACATGCTGGTAGGCCTGAGCAACGACGACGACTGGGAGCCACCGCGCGGGTCGACCACGACGACGGCAACAACGTCGCAAAGTCGGCGGTCCGCGCGCAAGTGCCGGCGGAAGCGGGTGTGGGGATCCGAAGCAGTCGGCGCTGGGCCAAGCTCTGCGAAGAAGAACAAGTCTGTGATGCCAAAGGTGTCAGATGCGTTTCGCGCGCGCGACAGGTTGGTGGCCAAGGAGGAGGAGGCCTTAGGACCGCTTGGCGACAAGGAGACCAGCAAGTTTAACAAGCTCAAGAGCGAGTACCACAAGAATGCTGACAAGTATGATGCGGTGACGGTGACAATCGCGGTTGTTGGTGAGGCGGGGCTGGGTAAGACGACCCTCGTGAACGAGCTCGTGTCGCCGCTTCCACTTCTTGCCAAGGTGGAGAAGTACAAGGTCGAGGAATATGAAGTCAGCGACATCATCGCCGCGCTCGAAGGCGAAGACCAGACTCTGGAAGAGCTGTACAAGCTTGGGACGGGGCAAGTGGGCAAGTGGCCGCTAAATGCGGGCGCAGGCGCAACTTCGGTCTCCAAGCTCGTCACGGTCCTCAAGTACCGCGAGGGGTACAACTTTCGACTCGAGTGCTGGGACGGCAACACGCTGCTCGATTCGCATGATGTGATGCGCGCTGAGTACTACTTGCTGCCGAAGGTGCTAGTTGAGTGGTCGGCCGAATACGGGGCGCCCGATGGGCAAGACGCAGAGAAGCGGATCTTTGTGTTTGGGCCGTGGGCGACTGGCCCCAAAGTGCACGTCGTCGACATTCCCGGATTTATGACTGCAGCCGACGACAACATGGCGGCGAGCGCGGTGAAGGACGTCGATGTGGTAATCCTCGCCTCGAAGCGCGGGGCAAGCGAGGCCAGCATCGATAAAGTGGTGAACATGCTCATGGCGCACTCGAAGGACCCGTTCTGCGCGCCGGTCTTTGTCAACTACTTTGACGCGATGGGAAGCGCGCCAGGTGAGGCGATCGAGCGCCAGGCGCTCGATCAGTTTGTCCACCACATCCGCGATAAGGTCACGGACGATGCCATCACAACGACGGCCTATGCCGCCGACGTCGTGGCGTACCGCCAGGCTCTTGCGGACAAGGCCATGGTCATGCCGAACACTGCACTTGTGCTGTACGATCACACGATGGCGGGTTTGAAGCATAAGGGCTTTGGCCAGCTCGACATGGCGACTTACAACGCTATGATCCAGCAGCGGAAGTGGCTCAATGAGTTCTTCACGCGGCCCAAAGTGTACCAAAAGTATGTCACGGAGATGCTCACGGTTGCTGCCAGCCGCATCGTGGGCGACGCCATGCGTCCGGCCATTTCGTACTTGATCGGCATCATGAGCCTCCACAACTTTGAGTGCGGCCGGAGGCAGACGTCCATCCAGCTTTGTGATGCTCGACGCAACATGCTCGCGCTCAATGGCAAGCGCACGACGGCCAAAAAGAAGCCGATGCTGCGTTCCTCAATGCTGAGGTCTCTGACGCCGATTGGGCCGTTCTCGTGGTGGAGAAACTTCACGATGACATGGCCAAAGCCCTCAGCGCCGGAAACGCGACGATGCTAGTGACCAGGATCGAGTGCGTCCTCGCGCACTACATCATAACGTCGTTCCAGAAGACGCGCCAGGCCATCAAGTCCATGACACGCAGGGTGATTGCTGGAAAGAAGGACACGCCCAGGGACAAGAGCAGCAAGGCGCAGTTCGAGGCGACTTGCGGGGCGATTGAGAAGACACTGGAGCGCGACCTGGAGCGCCTCAACGTGACACTCGCCCTGGACACCAACGTCGCGCACGAGGTCACGGATGTCCTCGCGACTTGGACAACTAGCGTCGAGGCTATGGCGCGACTCAAGTCTATCGTGAAGTCTGCCATCGAGGCATACGTGGCGCCCTTGCGCAACAACCTCATCAAGTTTGTCGAGAGGTCGCATCTCCCGCTTGCGGACGCGTGCGAGGCCGCCGCAGATATCAACGCGGACAAGCACGCCAAGCCGTGGAAGAGCCTGCGCTCGATTGATGAGAGGTTTGCAGCCGACGCCAGCGCCGTCATGAACAAGTTCGCCACCGAGCGCGACGCGCCTGGCGGCGCCCGCCACATTGTGTCGGCGGCCGTGACCTCGATGGCGGTGGCCATGACCCGCCAGGCCAAGTCAACGGCGCCGCGGCCCGTGCCCAAACTCAAGGTTAAGGTCAAGATCGATGCGTCGGCCGAGTTCCTCATCACCACTCTCGAGTATGGTAAGAACGCAGAGAGGGTGGCGACGCGGTGCAAGCTCCGCGTGACGACGCCGACGGTGGGCGAGTTTGAGCGCCTCGCCGAGCGCATCACGCTCGACTCCACTCCAATCGTCGTCGCTGTGTCCGACACCAGCGAAGCACCCGTGCTTGCGCTCCTTGCCGACCCAAGCTCCTGGCCAAGCACGCCATCGTGTTTCTCGCTCCCAACGCCGATGCTTTGCAGGGCGTTAAGAGCCTCATCGCCACGAACGCCAAAACGCAGCTCCTCCTTGACGACGCGTTCTTCGCAGTGAGCGGCCAGGCGACAGCCCACGACGCCGAGGCCCTTGCGGCGTTCCTTGCGGCGTGCGCCGTCGACGAGTGGACGTCGGAAAGTCTGGGCCAGAGCGTGGTGCTCCCATCGCGGACGACAGCGTTTGGCGCTCTGATCGACCTTGGCCTCTCTCACATCGCGCAGGCCCGCGACTCGCGCCTCGGGACCGAGCGGATCTCGCTCCTCGCCTTCCTCAAGAACGTCAAGCGCCTCGAGGCCGCCATTCTCTGCGAGGCACGCAAGGCCGGCTCAGCGGCCATCCGCTCAGACGGGCTTCTGATCCACATTATCCAGAACAAGGCGGCGTTTGCGGAGAACACGACAGCGCACGTCAAAGACCCGCGCTACATCCTGTCGCTCGACGAGCTGGAGGGCATCGCACACGCCATTGCCGACTGCGACGAGCTCGCTCCGGAGTACGCCGACATCATGATCGGTGTCAACCGGGCGCGCTCGGTCTCGGCCATGGGCCTCGCGTACGCAGTGCGGGGCGCCGCTGGCGTCTCCAAGAACGACGTGTTGATCCGCGGCAAGCTCAACTCGGGCATCACCCTTTTCCACGGCCTCAACACCCTCACCGTTGTTCCCACTTGCTCCACCGCCTCGTCACGCTCTGGCAATGCCGGAAAGGAGACACGCAGTCGGCGCGCCAAGCTCATCAGCGCCGCCAACGAGAAGCTCGCTGCGCAGGCGCTCGAGCTCCAGTGGTGGACCACTTTTTGCCACAACGACCGTCCTGATCGGTCATCGGACACGTCCGACACGCACCATGGCGCCGCGGCACCCACCACCGTCCCGATGACGAAGGCCGTGCGTGTCCGTGGCAAGCGTCGCCGCCAAGCGACCCCCATCGAGTCCCTCTCCCCGTCCAAGCGCCCAAAGCATGCGTAGTAGTCATTGACAACCGTACGCATAAAGTAAAATCTCTCATCGGTTCGGCCACAGCCGCCAGTCACGCCAGGTGGCCACTCGGTTGTCGCTTGCGCGCCGTCTGCGCGGCGTTTGACAATGTTTCCATTGCCAGCGGGTGGACCGGTGGTGTTCCATTGAGATCATTGAATGGCGACAAAATGGAAGGATGACAAGTCACGAATGGTCTTCAATGGAGTCAACGAGTACAAGTTGTTGGACGAGCGAGCGGCATCGCTGGGCTAGGCGAGGTGGATACACGTCTCGCGAAGAGGCCAGTACCACGCCAGACACATGCCAGTGGCACCACCTTCACCACCAGCGTCGCCAAGAGCATGTGCAAGCACACTTTCAAATGTCATCCCCGCAGGCTACTCGTGGACGGTGTTTGATGGCGAGACAGAGACGACGACCGTGTACTATGGCCCGGGCACCGTGCCGCTGTCGGACAGTGCTGGCGGCGAGAGCGACGACCGATTCTGGCCGATGACGGACGCGCCTGTGGCTCACATCCAAGTGCCGCACGGGCATTATCTTCTGATCTCCAACCCGGTGGTGATGGACGTGGCTGGCCGGCCGATGCGCTCGAGTGATGGCAAGATGTATGCGCTCGAGGAGGGCAAGGTCGCCGTTATCGTGGCCGGATCGGAGCGGACTCGGCTCGGAGGCGTTGTGCTCTATCCCGGTGAGACGCTTCTGACCGAGACGGCCAAGCCGCTGCGCTCGCTTCCGGCTCACGCCGCGCTGCATGTGCGGATGATCGCAGACGGTGCCGATCCGTTTGACGGCTTCGAACGCTCGGCCGGGGACGAGTTTGTTGTGGTCGGCCCGCGAAGCGATGTCCGTAGCGAGGACGATTACTACAACTTGGTGATTGTGGCCACGCTGGATGCCCTGGCTCCGCCGGCGGGGCGGTTGCGCTCCGGTGTGAGTCGGTGGTTTCGGGTGCGGTCTCGGTGGTGGGGGTGGAGGAACTGCTGGCGGCCGCCGACGGCAGTGGGCAGGTCTTCCCGCCGCTGGCGAGCACGGTGCTGAGTTGGGTGACACCGATCGACATTGCGCGCGACGCAGTGGTTCATCTGCGGGCAGTGGTGGCAGGCAAGGATGCGACGGGTGTGGTCCGACGGGCTGGCGAGGTGTTCGCGGTCGGGCGGGACGATCTAGGCTCTGGCGCGGTGGCTTACGTGCCATACCACGGCGAGGAGCTTGTGCGGGTGGTGTGCAAGCTTGAGCTCGAGGCTAACGAGTGGTGCATTGTGGCCAACCCGATGGGCGAGAGCGGGGTGCGGCTGGGCGCGCGCGAGCTGCGGCGCGGCCCGACGAGCTTCTTCCTCCAGCCTGGCGAGGAGCTGGTGGATCCGCCGGGTGTGGCGATGACATACACCATTGACTATGGTGAGGCGCTGGTGCTTGAGGCGACCGAACCTTACGAGCCGCATGCTGGCGAGGAGGCGCACCCCGTGGGTGAGGTGTGGCTCGCCCACGGCCCGCTGGTCGACTACATTCCACCGTTGGGTGTGCAGGTGCAGGAGGTTCACAGGGCAATTGACGTGAGCGCGAGTGAGGCTGGCATCTACGTGGCTACGGCCAAGACCGGTACGATCCGGCGGATCACCGCCGAGCGTCTCGGCTCGCCGTTCTACACACTCTCGGCTGACGAAGAGCTCGCTGAGCGCGACGATGTGGGCGCGACGCCGTACACGACGGCACGGAGCACGCGATGGGAGGCGGTTTGCCTGCATTTGCCCGAGGGCGTGGCTGTTGGCGTGCGCAATGTGGGCACGCAGGCGGTGCGTGTTGAACTCGGCCCGGTGACACTCGCGCTAGAGTACGAAGAGGAACTTGTGCGAGTGGCGCTGCCGACAGCGGCCGACGACGGACGCGGGGCGCAGACCAGCTGCGAGACGTATCATGTGAGCTCTGAACTGGGGCCACTGCTGGGCGGTGGGGCAGCGCTGATGGGCGAGTGGATGCCGATGACGACTGCGGAGGGCTGCCGCGTCTTTATACACCTGGTCTTTGGCTACTCGGTGGTGGTTGACGCGGCGTCTCGCGACGCGCTGCTTGGGCTCTTTGCGGAGCCCGAGTGGGCCGCGAGCCTCCGGCGACAGCTGTGCGGGACTGTCCGGCCGCTGCTCCGGCCGCTTGAGTTCCGCAAGGTAGTGTTTGATGGCGAGGAACTCATCCGCGCGGCGCTCGGGCCGTTCCCGTCCACTTTTGCAGTTGTGCCGGGCGTGTGCGTGACGTCTGTCGCCATCTCGACGTTCCTCGGACAAGATGGCGAGTCGACGCTTGCGCTCAACACACTTCTTGAGGCGCGAGCTGAGCTGGACTCTGCGCAACGCGTTGCATGCGATCTGGAGGCCGAGCGCGAGGCGCAGCGCGAGCATGCGCGGCAGGCGCTGCGTGCACTCGAGTCGCAGATTGCTGCCACACGCGAGGAGCTCGATGAGGAGATTGTGGCTGCGCGGGCACGTCTGGAGCAGTTTGTAGCAGACGATGTTGTAGATGCGAATGCCATGTGAATGAAGCCGAGGCTGTTGTCTGAGGCTGTTGCCTGTCTGAGGCTGTTGCCTGTCTGAGGCTGTTGCCTGTCTGAGGCTGTTGCCTGTCTGAGGCTGTTGCCTGTCCCCAGCCCCCCCCCCCCCCCCCCCCCCCCCCCGACTGACACCTTCCATTCGCAGCGAGTGTTCCTTCTGCCCAAGTGAGGGGAAACGACAGGCACCCGATCAGCCGCTGACCGCCACCACACTCAAGCCCCTTGACCACCTCGTCCTGGACCAGAAGAGACCACACGTGGCGCCAAAGACGAATATGGCGAGTGAGAGGGACAGTGTGCCGTGGAGTGTGTATGTGCTGGAGGACCAGAAGGCAGAGCGGGTGTTCCCTCCAGATGGTCGTCCGAGAGTATGGCCAGAGGCCAATGAGAGGCTGGTCCTGCATCGTGGGGACATCACCCAGTTGCATGTCCATGCTGTCGTCAATGCTGCCAATGGAAGGGTATGTTTGAGGCGGGTGGGGGGGGGGGGGGGGCATCAGGGGCTCTCGGGGGGTCATCGGGGGTCATCAGCGGTCGTCTGGGATCATCAGCGGTCATCAGCGGTCGTCTGGGATCGTCGGGGATCATCAGTGGTCGTCTGGGATCATCGGGGGTCATCAGCGGTCGTCTGGGATCATCAGCGGTCATCAGCGGTCATCGGGGTCATCAGCGTTGCCGAGAGCTACGGAGGGTCATCGAGGTCATCGGGGGCGGCTTGGCTATCGCACGCATGAAAGGATGATGCGGTCATAGCCACTTTGTCTCGCTGATCGGCGCATGCACTCACATCTCTGCTCTACACACAGATGCTTGGTGGCGGTGGTGTCGACGGCGCCATTCATCGCGCTGCAGGCCTGGAGCTCCGTGAAGAGTGCGAGCAGCTCGACGGGTGCGAGCCGGGCGACGCCAAGATCACCCACGGCTACAAACTAGCCGCTCGGCACGTCATTCACACGGTCGGGCCCATCGTGTGGACAGAGCTCTGTCGCGAGGACGCCTTTGAGCTTGTCTCGTGTTATCTCTCCTCCCTCGAGCTGGCAAAGGCCCACGGCTTGACCTCAATCGCGTTCTGCTGCATCGCCACCGGTGTATACGGCTTTCCCAATGAGCCAGCCGCCCGCTTTGCCGTCCGCGCTGTCCGAGAGTGGATGGACGCCTCGCCAGAAAACGCCACAGCCTTTGATCGCATCGTCTTCTGCGTTTTCATGGCCAACGACAAGGCTCTGTACGAAGACGCGCTCCTCACCTACTTTCCGCGCGTCGACACAGCGCCCAACTTGGTGCCGGACGCCAAGCCCAAGGCTGGTCTGCCCGACGCGCCTGCCTCCTCGTCATCGTCGTCCTCGTCCTCGTCCTCCGCTTCCGAAGAGAAACTATGCTTCGAACCCGATGCCGACGCCTCTCCGGAGACCAACGAGGACGTTGATGGCGCAGTACCTGACGGGGCCGATGTCATGGACACCGACATGGGCGCACTGCAGACGGTTGTAACGCCTGGTGGCAAAGCGGTACCGGTGGGCCCTTCATCCCCGCCTCCACCGCCTCCTCCGCCGGCTGCCAAGTCCACATCGGCTGCAAAGACGCCGCCGCCGCCGCCGTTTGACCCGTCACAGGCTGGACAAAAGTGCAAACCGGTGCTCAAGCGCGTTCCGCCGCCGCCGGGCTTTTCATCATGGAAAAAGTTCATCAACCGTGTGATTAAGCCTGACGCCGAGGTGTGCAAGGCTAAGCGGAAGAACGTGCGTCGAACTGGGAAGCAGAGCGAATGCGTGGTTCAGTGACGCTCCGCCGGCTGGCCGCGGAGGACCGGCGGCCCGACGCCAGACTCGCTCTCGAGTGCGTACGTGAGCGGCAGCCGGACCTCATCGCCGGCCTCGACCTGCAGCGACCAGACAATGGCCCCGTTGGCGAGGCTCACCCGTGGATCGGCGGCCACGATCTCGGGTGTGACAAGCGTGACCCGGACTCGCGGGTCGTTTGCCGCAGGCAGCGGGTGTCGCATCAGCAGCTGAATCGGTCGGTCCTTGGGGTTGGTCACCCGGACGAGGTGCTCGACCCGCCTTGCTGTCGCCTCAGCCTCGCCGGCCCCGTCGACCATAATCGGCGGCGTGTACTCGATGTCGATGTCGCCGTCGGCACCACAGAAGAGCCGGAAGCGTGCCGCGGGTGCCACCGCCGACATTGCTAGCCGCCCACAAAGCTACCGTCTGCAAAGACGGAAGCCTCGCCAGGCGCAAGCAACCGACCGCTTGTGTTCTCCAAGTCAACTCGGAGGTACGCCAATGGCTCCTGCGCAGGCGCGACCACGTGGACCTGGGCCACCACAGGCAACACCACGCTCCCAATCTCGACCCTGCTCTCGCCACTCACCACAACTGCAGCCGCACTGAATTGTGGGAGCTCCGCAAAGGCAAAGCCGGCCTCGGCAACATCGGTCAAGTGCTCATCGCCGGTAACTACCGCTACCACCGGCGGTGGCTCGGCCGTCGGCAGCGCGCACGCGTCGACTGGGAGCGGTAGATAGGTAAAGTCGACTTCCACTGGCGCATCCGCACTGCCCCAAGCCTCGCCGCAGTTGTTGTCCACCCCTGCGTGGACTACAATCTCGGCCTCGTTGGCCACCGTATCGATCCTGACCTCGTACTCGGGCTTCCATCCTACCCGAGTCACCACATACTGAACCTCCACCTCGACCACATGCCCCTCTGCAGCCTCTGAGCCGGTGACAGAGACCACAATGTCGCCGCAGCGCGCAGACTGCGTGCGCGAGGCCGTGGCAGACTCGGTCGGTACATCTGCTTCCGCACCCCGGCCACCGCATCGAACATGGCATCGAGCCCGGCCACTGCTGCCATGTACTCCTCGACAGACTTTGCCGCATCCGCTGCAGCCACCGCCCACGACTCGATGACCTCATCCACGGCCCAACGTCGCTCCTTGCCAGCAGCATGTCCGGACGCAACGGTCTCAACCTCTCCGCCCACGTTTTCATCGCCAGCAGGAAGCGGTGGAGGGAGCGGCGGGAGCTTGGACACCTCGACACGGTCGATCCAGGCGCAGAGCGAGCCAGATCGCGATGATGATGCTGGCGGTGGCGGTGATGATGTCGGCTCTGCTGGCCTAGCCTCTGGCGTCGGCCCCATTGCCTTCGGCTCGGGTGTCGGCTCGGGCGTCGGCTCGGGCGTCGTTGCTGCTGTTGGCGATGACGGCATCGATGACGCCACGAGGGCGGCGCCAGGCGGATTGACTGCCACCACCGAGGCGGTGACCGTGCGGACGACCACATGCGGAGAGAGGGCAGGGAAGACGAGCGCCACATGGCCACCCTCGACTACTCCTTGGCATCGCCTCCGCACGTGCGCTCCTTGCTGGTGGAGCGTTACCTGGCTCGTCGTCATGGCGAGACGGGTCTACCAGCGAACAATCGTTGCCCATTCCCGCCAACAACAAACAATCGTTGCCCATTCCCGCCAACAACAAACAATCGTTGCCCATTCCCGCCAACAACAAACAATCGTTGCCCATTCCCGCCAACAACAAACAATCGTTGCCCATTCCCGCCAACAACAAACAATCGTTGCCCATTCCCGCCAACAACAAACAATCGTTGCCCATTCCCGCCAACAACAAACAATCGTTGGCCCCCAACAACGTGTGGCGCCGGCCAACAGCCAACGGACGCACACCCGTCTCTCCTTCCAGACTCTATCATGTCGCGCAGGAGAGCGCTGTTCCCGCGCGGACTGGCCCCGTACCTCGACGAGGTGCTTGTGACGGTCATGGAAGAGTACCTCACCCATGGTGCCTGCGAGGACGACCGGCGTGCCCTCATCCGCCTCCTCTCGCTCTTTGCCAAGCGAGCCAGCGCGAGTGCTCGGCCGAGCCAGGCTGCCGGTCATCGTGCTGCTGCGCGGGCAGGCATCGTCCAGGCCCGTGGACCAGAGACAGACTCGCAAGTCATTCTCCGCTGTGCCGCTCATCGCCCCAAGCACGGATGGGACGGGATCCAGCCTGCCGACATCGGCGCACAGTGGGAGTACCTGACCACAGCAGACTTCGATGACATCGAGGCCACCGTCCTGGCCAGGTACATGGAGGCCATGGCGACCGAGCTGGGCGAGGACTCGGGCCCGCATGCCGTCGAGGCCTATCTTCAGTTCTTTGCCGGAAACATCATCCGCCCCGTCTGGATGGCCGCTCTCGCCAGCTGGTACGCCTCGCTCAGAGATGCCGGGAAGACCGCCTTCATTCAGGCCATGCGGCGACTGCAGGGCGCGCTTGTCGGTCAAGATAGCCTTCGCGACTCGTTCCCCTGGCGGAGTGCTGTCTATGCTGCCTTTACCGCAGAAGGTGAGCTAGAGGCCCGCGCTGCGCTCGCCGCACGCCCGCCGGCAACCTCCTTCACTGAGCTGTACGCCACCGCCACACGCGACGCCTCGGCCTCGTTTGTCGGCAACGACAACGCGGACCATGATGTCCACGGTCTCGACCTCTGTGCAGAGTACGATGCGGACCTCATGGCCAACACCGCCCGCCCGGGCTCGCCCGTTCTCGCCGGCCTCTCCACCAACAAGATCAACCTGCAGCAAAACGACGCCGGCTCGTCGCGGTTCGACGCACACGGCCAGACCGCCCTCTCCCAGCTCGAGCTCGATCGCATGCTTGCACAAGGCAAGCGGCCCGAGCCCGCTGCCTCGGTCTACACCCAGTCGTTCGAGTGGCGCCCGCCGACCACGGACCGCGCCTTCTCCACCATCTACTCCAAGAACCTGCAGCGCTCGCTCAAGCTGGGCCTCGACCGCGAGATGCGCCTCGAGACTACCTACGCCGCAGACATCGACAAACTTGCCAATCGCGTCATCGACCGCAACGCTGCAGAGGGCAAGGTCCCCGACTACTCCGTCTCTGAGCCATCAGAGGTCGGCTACCAGCGCACCCTCCACGAGCGGAAGATGCGGACCCACAAGCTGGTGTAAAGCCATGTATGTCTTTCCTACGTGCAGAATCGAGGCAGAGCCGATGTGCATGAGCACCAGAGAACAGCAAGGAGGTGCGGATATGGCTTCCCCGAGCCTCAAGTGCGGCCGTGCGAGCTGCTTCCGCATCTGCATGGGATCACAAAAATTGAGCAGATTTGGCCATAACCCCCCCCGGCCCCGCTAAAAGTCGTAGGAAGAGCATCAAGCCACCATCAAGCCCCATCCTGACCCCGATCACCCCCACATCCCATCCCCTCGCCACCCCCCCCCTCTTCAGCACCTCTCGTCCGCCCATACTCGGCCCATTGTCGCCCCATCACCATCGACTTCATCCACGCCTTTGGTCATTTCCGGCGGCCATCCTTCAATTAATTGAATCGCTCCTTGTGTCCAAAGCCAAGACAGGCGACAGCGACAGCGACGGCCACTCGACTCGACTCGCCGACCTAGGCGGCACCACCACACCAGCCATGAGCGCCAACGAGACGGTATCCCACGAACCTGCGACGTCGGGCAAGATGGTAGTGCACACCAGCAAGGGAGATGTAGAGGTGGAGCTCTGGGCACGTGAGGCGAGGGAGAACGTCCGCAATGTGCTCTCGCTGGCAGCCGGAGGCGCGTACGACGGCTGCGGCTTCTTCCGCATCGACAAGGAGAGCGGCGTGGTAGTGGGCGATCCTACCGATTCGGGCACTGGTGGATTCTCCATTAATTATGATCCGGAGAGTGGCAGTGATTCGGGCATTGGGCATGAGTTTCACAAACGCATCAAGTTTGCAAAGCGCGGCATCGTGGCTTGTATGGCTTCTCCCGACAACAGGAACAGATCGCAGCTGCTCATCACTCTCGCTCCGCTGCCAGATCTTGACGGCAAGGCCACCATCATTGGCAAGGTCGTCAACCGCTCGCTCTTCACCATCATGGCTATGACAGAAATGCTCATCAATGAGGTCTCATTCCGCCCAGAGGTTCTGCCTACCATCACTTCCATCGACATCACCGTCAACCCCTTCCTCGACCTCGTCCCGGCTACACACGTCGCTGCCGCCATCGCCAAGCTCCGTGCGCCCAAGCGGAAGCGCAAGCGCAAGCGCAAGGCTGTCACCAATGCCGCCCTCCTCTCCTTTGGCTCGGCCACTGTCGGCGAGCCATCGATAACCCTCCGCGACGACGACGACGACGATGACCACGCCGCCCCGCTCCTCGCCGCGCCTCCCCGAATCCGTGCCGTCCATGACGTTGTCGGAGCCCACAAGGCCAAGGCCAAGGCCAAGCGCAAGCGCAAAAAGCTCGTCCATCACGCATCGCCTCCCGCGCCGCGCGCCCCTGCTCCCGCCCCATCACCACCTGCTGCCACTGCTCCCTCCCCACCGCCCGCGGCTCAGCCTCCTCCGCCGCCACCCGTCCTTGCGCCGCCGTCCGAGCTCGTTGCCACGTACAAGGCCAAGGCCGCGGCCTTTGCCGATGACGACGCCCGTGCCGCTCACACCGCGTCCAAACTCGCGCGACTCCAGGCCATGCTGGCCAAGCGCAAGGCGGCCGGTGGGAAGCGGTGATGACGCTTGGTGCTGGATGCATCGTGTTTATTGCTGCCGATCAAGCCAGACTATGTCAGCTGCGCCACCAGCTCGCGCTTCATGACCTTGCCCTGGGTGTTGCGCGGGAGACTGTCCACCACCACCACCCGTGATGGCATCTTGTAGCTGGCGAGCTCACTAGCAGCTCCATCGCAAAGGTGCGCGAGCAGCGCATCATCGCCGTCGTGCCACGTGCGCGCCAGCTCGACGACCGCGACCACCGACTCACCCTTGGTCTCGTGCGGGACGCCGACGACCGCAACGTCGCGGACGGTCGGCAGCGCCAACAGCGCGCGCTCGATCTCCAGCGCGGAAATCTTGTAGCCAGAGACCTTGAGGATGTCGGCCGAAAGACGGCCGAGAATGCGGTATTCACCTGTGGCAAGGTCGCGTGCGGCCGCGTCGCCGGTGGTGAACCAGCCGTCGCAAGTAAACTCGGCCGCTGTTGCCTCGGGCTTGTTGAGGTACTCGGAGAACATGCCGGGCGACTTGATGAGGAGCTCGCCGGGACCCTCGTGAGCAGCATCAAGCATGTCCTTGGTCTCCAGATCCCGCAGCGCCGCCGTGACGCCCGGCAGCGGGCTCCCCACCCATCCAGGCCGCCGCGCGCTCTCGGGCGTATACGGGTTCGACAGCGCCATGCCAAGCTCGGTCATCCCGTACCGCTCCAGCAGGACGTGGCCCGAAACGCCCTCCCAAGCCCGGAGAACGGGCTCGGGCAGTGCCGCCGATCCGCAGACTTGCAGCCGCATGGCCTCGCTCGCGGCGCGAAACGCGGCCTGATCCGCCGCCGGCAGCGCCTGCACGTGCTCGATGAGCCGGGCGTAGACCGTTGGCACCGCCATGAGCACATTGACCTCACCTTGCACAATAGCATCCACCAGCCGAGCAGCATCAAAGCCAGCCGGGTCAAGCTTGAGCGCGGCATCGGCTGCCAGGGCGCAACAGGTGACGTTGATCAGCCCGTGGACGTGATGGAGCGGGAGAACGTTGAGCAGCGCGTCTGCCGACGACCACGCCCATGCTGCGCGGAGCATGTTGACCTGAGCCACCAGCGCATGATGCGAGACAACCACGCCTTTGGGGCGGCCCGTGGTGCCAGACGTATACACAATGAACGCACCGGCCGCCCGGACGTCCTGCGGCGCGAGCTCCAGCTGGTCGACCAGGTCGCGGTCGGCCGGAGCAGCGGCGGGAGGAAGCGGGTCCATGACGACGACCTCGGTCTCCTCGGGCACCACGCCCTCACCTGCCAGCCTCTCTTCCATGCCAGCTTGCACAAGCACTGTGCTCGGAGCTGCGTCGTGCAGGGCGTACGACAGCTCGCCCGGCGGATGGGCCACGCAGAGAGGGAGGACTGGCCGCGCGGCCATCCATCCGGCGAGCACTCCGGCCACAAAGCCATGACCAGGCCGTGCAAGGACTGCAACGGGCTCGCCGGACGTCGTGACCTCTGATCCAGACTCGGTGATCGAGGCGGTGGCGAGGCGGGCGGCGTGGGCGAGGACATCGTGTGTGGTCAGCGACAAAGACGGGGAGATCGATGGCGACGACGAGGGCGACGACGAGGTGCTCGGCGAGGCCAGCTCCTCGATCGTGCCCGTCAGTCGAGCGTGGTCAAGCAGCGGCGGGAGAACAAGGTTGGAGGCAGCGCGGAGGCGCGTCTGAGTCCGGACCGAGGTGGAGAGACTCCATCGGAGCATGATGGTCGGGAAAGACGGCGCGCGGGGGTAGTGAGGTGTGGTGCCACGAGGCGACAATAGGCACATGCTGTTTACCGGACCATCAATGGCGGCCACGTCCGCGGCCGCGACCACGGGATCGGCCGCGACCAGAAGACTTGCCCTTGCGGCCGTTGCCGCGGCCGCGACCACCGTGCTTGCCGCCGCGCCGGCCGCCACGCGGGGCGCTGGACACGCCAGATCGGCCGAGGCCCAAGCCCATGAGCACGTCGCCATTGGCGTCGGCAAGTTCGGCAGCCTTGGCGGCGTTGGCGGCGGCGATCCCGGCGGCGGTAGCCGCTTCGTCGTCATGGGGCTGGGCGGCGTCGTCGTCGTCGTCGCTGGCGGCGGTGGACGGTGTGGCAGGCGCAGCGGCGGGGGCGTGGGCCTTGATGTAGGCGGCGGCGCGTGCGGCGGCGGCCTTGCGCTTGGCCTTGCGGCGCGAGACGCGATAGACATGCACGACGGCCGAGGAGAGCTCAGGCGCAACGCGAGCGCGGCCGCCCGAGGCCGTCCGCTCATTGCGGTAACCGGGAAAGTGGGCAGCATCAAAGGGATAGGTCTTGACGGCGACCATGCCTGCGTCGACGGCGGCGCCATCGATGTCCCACGAGTTGTAAAACGTCGTGTCGCGGAGTGCCACCTCAACCACGCCATCAGGGGTGAGGACGGCCTGGGCCGAGGTGAAGAACTCGCCAAGCAGGTCGTGATGGATGGCGGCGAGATCGACGCCGGCAGTCGATCCGCCGACGTGGGAAAGTTGAACACAACGGCATCATAGGGTGCGTTGGCAGTCACAACCGGATGCGCGTTGTCTCCATGCAGCGACCGCGCGTCAACGCCGTGCGCCAGCGAAACCCATGGAGCCATGGCCTCGGAGGTCAGGCTCTTGACGATGGCATCCATGCCCACGTACTTGCTAAAGAGCACGCCGCGGGCATCATATGTCGTCGCTACCAGCTTTCGCTCGCCAGGAAGCCGAGCCATGGCCAGAGCCAGTCCACGAGCAAAGGAAAGATTGCCATCGCCAACCACCAGCACCGACTTGGCCGACTTGTAGGGAAAGTCAGGCGTTAGCCGGACCGACGCCGCCAGCATGCTCGCCTCATCCGTCAAAGCCATCTGTCGCGATGGCATGCCCAATTCAGTAGCCAAGCCCATTGTCGTGGCGCCATCATCACATCCGCCATTCTTCGAATTTTGCCCAGTCTGGCCCGACTTGCCCGACTTGCCCGACTTGCCCGACTTGCCCGACTTGCCCGACTTGCCCGACTTGCCCGACTTGCCCGACTTGCCCGACTTTGAGCCGGAGGGCATCCATGGCATGGAATTGAGCTGACGCCACACCGTTTCCTGTCACCATTGCGCCCATCATGTTCTTGAACCTCTTCTTGGCTTCCGCCAGGGAGACTCCGGCTTTGCGCTTCTTGCGGCGAGCCATGGCGTGGGGTGGGAGACGGTGAGGTGATGGCGGGTGAGCGGATCAGGATCGCCAGCGCTATCGGGCACGTCGGAGACGGAAGGGGGAGATGACGACAGAGTGACCATTATTCACGATGAAGGTCCCGATATGGCTAGGGAGGTGGAGAGAGAGAGAGAGAGAGAGGGAGAGGGAGGGGGGGGTATGATTGATCATAGTGTGCTTGTATGATCTGGATCTGGATCAGGATCAGGATGAGGACCAATATCGCGCAGGGGGTGAGGGCGGGCGGGGGCGGGGGCGGGGGCGGCATAGCTATCCACCTCAACGAGATCATTTTGTCGGATTTCTACTCATCGCGGACGGCAAAGACAAGTGGTGCAGCCTTGCCGCTGTGACGGACAATCGAGTGCGCGGCGCGGGCGGCGGCGCGGAACTCGCGGTCGGCCGGGTCGAGTGACGGAAGCAGGCCGTCGATGATCTGCGTCTCGGTGTTGCGGACTACAAGGATGTCTAGGATGCGGGCCTGGAGCTCTGACTGTAGCCGTGCCAACTGGCTGACTTCGTCGACAGAGGTGTACACGAGCTTGGGCGTGGGCGGCCGCAGGATGCGGCGCATCGGCGGGAAGAGCTCGTGTGGCAGCCACTGCAGCACGTACGATGTGTGCGGTTGCGCCTTGATCGACAGATCGTCCGCGCTCAGCGCTGCTATTGCCGGTGCACCGCGGAGGCCGTCATCGGGCTCCCAGTCGCGACGGAGTGCGTCAAGGGCGCGCGCCGTGTGGTCCCAATCATACCCGCCGCCGGCAGCTCTCCCAGCCGCTCCGGGAGCTTCGGCCAAGGCTACGTCGCTCTCTGCAGCCTCTGCAGCTTTGTGCGCCTGTGCCAATTCGTAGTAACGCTCAAGCACCGCGGTCATGGCGTCAATCTGGGCCTGTGAACGGACTTGTGGATCCCACGGCGACGACTGGATGTAGTGCAGGAGCTCGAGCGTGCTCAGCGCACGCGCCACAGCGTCTGCATGGCCATCGTCTGGCCCCTCGTCAGCACAATCGCCACCCTCTTCCCGCGCAGCAGCATCGGCAGCCACAAAGCCCTCCCTGGCCTGCTTCATGGCCGCCATAGCCGCCACCTGCCCCGCGTACGCCGCATGCACCCGGGTCCGACCCTTGGCCACCGCACCTGCGCGGGATTTGAGCCCCGGGGGCGGCATTTTTTTGCCACCATCGGTTTGCCCAACACTGCTCAAGCCACTCGAGCCGCTTTCCGACCGGGTTACGCCACCAGAGCCGTGTCCGCCTCGTCCACCATCACCACCTCCGCCGCCGCTTCCAGCTTCCTCGCCGTCGAGCCGCCCAGAACCCATGCCCGCCCTGGCCTTGTCTGCCGTCTTGCTGAGCATGCGGTACGACCGGAGGAGCGACCGAAGATGCCGCTCTGCTCCTGTCACCGAGGCGAGGACTGCAGCCAGCTCCTCGTGGATGTTGTCCATGGGTGGGGGGGGGGGAGAGAGAGAGAGAGTGAGGTGATCGTGATCGCGATCGCGATCATGTCAGTTGCTGATCAAGCTGGAGGCGCAGCCGGCTTGTTTGCCATGATGGATCAGTGGAAGCGATGGGGCAATGGGCTTGAGGATGGGTGAGACGTGATAGTGGGTGGGTGCCGTCGTGGTGGAGGAGGGCTTTCGGCTGGATGTGGGGGAAGATGGCTGTGATCGGGCTGAGCATGATCAAAGCTGATATGGAGCCGCGAGACGGTGGGCCAAAGGTGGGGTAGCTCTGGATGGGATCTGCTTCCTCTACGGACCTGTCGCAGATGTTTACCAACGAGATCATAGCATGTTTTACTTGAACTCAGTGGCCGTGACCGTGGTCATCGCCGCCGCCCGAGGCCTTGAGCTCCCGGGCAGCCTCGACCTGCGCCGCACGAGCAAACTCCTTCTTGTGATGGAGGCACTCGATGTAGTCCTCGCGAATAAGACGGCACTCGGTACCCGTTGTCGTCCTACATCCGCATCCCCCGCACCCATCCCATCGCATCACATCGCCGTGAGTTTGATCATGTCCATCACCTGCCATCAAGCCCTCCAGCAGCAGTCCTGAATCATTTCCATCATAGCCACCACAGCACAACACTCTGCGAAGAAGGCCACCTCCGCCCTCCCTCCCAACTCCCCATCTTAACTCTCACCCTCAGCAAGACAGAGTGGATGATGGCAGTGTGGGAGGAAGGGAGGGAGGAAGGAAGGGCGAGGGAGGGAGGGAGAGGGAGACATACTTCAGTATACAGTATGTAGTATATGCAGTATCCCCCGCCACTTATTTTTGATGGCGTTAACTCTCTTTTTCATCTTGGGTGCTACGAAAACTGTGGTGGTTAAGTATAGAAGAGTGGGTTGCCGGAGTGAATTGGATGCTGGGGGGGGGGGGGGGGGAGGTAGAGAACTGCCTTTTTTGTGTCTTTTGAGGTGCTAAGCATGTGGAGTAGTATGGAAAAGATATTTTTTTGATGTTAAATAACATTTTATGATTTTTTTTTTTTTTCATTATAACGTAATAGTATCTATCTTTTTACGTTTCTTATTGGTGGGAGACAGGAAATAGAAAACAAACAAAAAAAAATAAATCTCTGTGTATGTGTTTGCGCGTTTTGTCTTTAA